TGATTCATGTACATTAGGTATTCGAGAAGTCATAAGACCACTTGTTGTATCCCATATTGTAAGAACACTATCTAAATCAGTACCAGAACATAAAGATTTACCATCATGAGATATATGACAATTTGTAACAATATGTTCATGAACACCTTTCCACTAATAGAAAATAAACACAAAAATAATAATACTATTGAAAAGAATGTATTTATATACAATTTCTTTGTCAGTTTCAACATCAAAACAACGCACTGTCTTATCCCAACTACATGAATATAAACTAGAAAATAAAAATGATTAATTGATTATTATATAAGTTTATAATAAATGTACCGAGTTGCTTCTTGATTGATTCTTACGGCTGGTACAGCTGCCATGTCATGATTAAGTTTATATTGATGAATTTGTCTTCCACTATGAAAATCCCATATACGAGCTGTATTGTCATTTGATCCTGTTATAAGCCAATTTTTATTTTCAATCAATTGACATGATTTAATAGGTCCCGTATGTCCATGATACAATTTTATTTCAACCTACAATTGCATACATATATATATATATATTATATTCTATTGCATAAAATCATATTATACATGATACATCAATGAAAAGGTGAATAGTATCTAATTTCATTGAATGAATTGAAAAGAAAGAATGAATGAATAAAGGTAAGAAAAATTCTTGATAATGACGATAATAAATCTTTTGATCAAGAAAATATAGACAGCAAGACAAAAAAAAAAGAAAGAAAGCATCCGTTCGATCATAATAATAATAATGACTAGAACCTCATTACATATAATGCTCATATCGTGATTATCAATTGAATAATAAATGCACGGCGGATTTCTTTTTTTTTTTTTTTTCTTTTTTGCTCTTGTCAAGCCTCAGGATAGACATACACATCAGGGTAACAGTAACAAGGAAATCATCATTGTTTTATATTACGTCATAAAAAGGTAAGCTTATGATAATAGGCATCATGTCGTGACCTGACTGTTGTGTTAGAAGTTCAGGGGCGGGTGGGCAGGCGATTGTCGTTGCGGATCATTCATCCTCACAACCAATGACACCTCCCATCGAGATCAAGATTAATCATTGAGAGCGACGGGTCAGGCGATCAATCACATTATGGAAAATTATGAAGTTTAGACATTTAGATTAAAATGAACACTAAGAATCACACAAACTTAAAACCTACTTGTGCCGAACTTTCATGAACCCATTCAGCATTAGGTGCAAGTGGTTCTGTTAAATTCATGTTATGCGATTGTAACGCCATCGTTTTTATTTTTGTATGTGAGTGTGTGTGTGTATGTATGGCTTTCTTCTTTCACTAGAATCTATTGCATGTGAAAATTACAATTCTTTTTTTTCTTTTTCTTTTTCTTTTTACTTCAATCGATTGAACAAACACACATGCCGACATATTTCGTCTCTGAGGTGATGATGAAAGAAAACAAAAAAAAACAGAACAGAACAGAACAGAATAACAAAATAAAAATATTCTTTTTTATTATATTTGATATTATGTATGAAACGGAAACTTTTTTTTTATTTCCTTTCTTTTATTAAAAGAATTTTAGTTCATTCAAGGAAACATGATCATGTTTGTAGTTAGTCGAATTATCCAAGAAGTAGAAAAAAAAAAAAAAAGAAAAGTGAATCTAACAGTGAATGAATTACCTTAATTGTAGATTTCGAAGAATAGAGAAGACATTGTTCTTTCTCTCGCTCTCTCTCTCTCTGTTGTACTCTGTTTTCTCTTTTCTTTTTTTTCTTCTTCTTCTCTTCTCTCTATGTCTCTTGATGGTTAATCGAGAACTCGAGGAATGCTCATCATTTCTTGTTCATAATTCAACTCAACAAATCCATAAAGCTTTCTTTTTCTTTTATCGAATAGCATGCTATCATTAATGTTCTTAAAATAGATGATGACAAAAATTTTATAGAACTATTTATCTTTCCTATTATCAAGTGTATATTATCGAAAACAATTTTGGTGTGAAGATTACACCACAAATAAGATTTTTATCTTCAAGTAAGTTAGTTTTTATTTTTTGAAAATTTTACATATGTTCATTTTACCATGACTGATAAATAAGTAAAGTAAAAGTTTAATTGATGATAAATAATTATGTTTATAAATTGAATATGACTTTATCTTATAACATCACCATATTGTACATTGTTTAAAAATGTCAAATATGAAGGTCTTAGTTTTGTATGAAAGAAAATCTGTTGCTTAGATTGAATCTAATGATCATCATCATATTCAAATGTTTGAAGGCAAAAAATCATAAGCATAGACAAGAAATATATACAAAGAGAAAGAAAAAAAAAAAAGAGAAGTCCATTTGTATGAGTGTTGATTGATCATGTCTTTTGCTTGACTTATATGTATATATATATATATATGAGAGTTGCATCATGAATGTCGTTAGAAGATTCAAGAGTATACATATATGCACATAAGATGAGCACGTGCAATATAATAGTTCAAACATTATACGAAACTAAATCCTATTCTGTCTTTTTTTCTCTTCGGTCTATTAGTGCTGATGTGATCCTGTATGCCATTCATCATCATTTATATCGATCTAATTTTAAATTCTTAGCTTTGTGTTTGTCATCATTGTTGTAACTTGAATGGGTAGAAGAATAAATTATTCTATATCTCTCTTGCACGCGCTTTTTCTTTTTTTCTTTTTTTTTGCTTTGTCTGACTTATTGAACAATCTTTTGTCTGCATGAGCTATTGCGTCTATTCTCTTTATGTAATAAACTGTTCAAGTGCTTGTAGTCACTCAAAAGTTAACTTTCTCTTTTTTCTTTGTTCTCTAGATTGTCTACGCTTGTGCTTTATGAGAGAATATATGTAGCAATGAGACAGACTGAACAGTTGTTCTTTCTCTTCTATTGTTGACATATGGCAAAAGCTACATAGAATCGAATTTCGTATAAACACACACATCTACGTCAATTAATTGTTTAATGATTAGAAACAAAAAAAAAATTGCACATGCATAGTGTATATATATATATAAATATATATTAAAATGAGTCAGTCTTATTCAATAAAATTCTAATTTATTTGAATGATGATTTGACTATATAAAAAATTTTGACAAAGGTGGACAAATTTGATATCAGAGTTAACATTTTATCCTCTCCTATTATATGCTGTAGCTAAACAACAAATGTGATTTTAATTGAGAAGAAAATGATGAAAAATCGAAATGTATATATGTAGGCGTGTGTATATATGTGTGTGAGTGTATTGAACAAAAAAAAAGAAGAGAAAGAACAATCTAAGTGACGTCTACTACTAAAAAGTTAATCACACCCGAGACATATATGAATGTCCCAAACGATTTGTATATGTATTATTATTGCAGACGCAATGTGGCAGACGTTCATCGATAATAATGATCAACATCGCTATCAACTTGTCGTTTCGAAGATTTGGTGATTTTGTCATTTTTTATTTGTTTCTATTACAATCATTATCATATTGTTGTAAGTAACATAAATCCTATGAAAATAATAATCATTGATTTTGATAAAATTTTTAATAGCTAATGGTTCAACAACAATGCATGCTACATGTGGTACTGATGTTGAATTAATTTGTCCAATTCGTTCAACAAAACAATCGGATGAAGTGGTATGTTCTTGAGATAAATAGAAAATTGAATTTATTTATTTTTCTTCGATTGGAAATATGTCAAAAATATCACATTGCTAGGAATCTAGTTTATGATATTTTAGATCTCATGGTTTCGTCCGAATTCATCTCATAGTCGTTTATCATTTATTGCTATTGGTGATATTCTTCTACCAGAATATGCAGCAAATGGTCGTTTTAATTTAATATCATCATCATCATCTCGTTTATTAATAAATAATATTTTAATTGAAGATCAAGGTTATTATACATGTAAATCAAGTACAAATGGTCAACATAGTATTAAATTAATTGTTAATTGTATGTTTTTTATTTTTGAGTAATAGAAAAAAAAAGAAATCAAGTTTGTTTTTTTTTTTTTATTTAAATTAGCTCATCCATATCTTTCTCCATCGTTACCAATTCTTCTTTATCCGGTCAATCGAACATTTACAATAACATGTTCACTTTTATGTGATTCATCAATCGAAATTCATAAATTAATGTGGTTTGTTAATGGACACACATTAGATGAAGATAAACATAAATTTTTTATTGAAACAATATCATTTAATACACAACGTTTAACAATTTTATTAAATACAAAAAATCATCATTTTAATCAAACGAATTATACATGTAGATATGATGGAAAAGAATCATCAATATTAGTTAGACGACGAACTAGTAAGTATTAATATGTTTTTTCCTTCTGATCTCGTTTACTTGCAATTCGGAGAAATTTTTTTTCTGTTGTCATTTTATAATTATGCTGATAAACTCTTCATCTATGACTTATAAGAATTAATGTCTTTCGATTTATATAAGACGTCTGGATTTACATGTATTTGTAAGATAGCCTTTGTTTTTTTTTTTTCTATTAAAACTTAACAGATTATTAAAAACATTTTAATTAGAATTGGATTTAGTAATAGATCATCTAAGTACTGAAAAAAATCATTGTTCCTATATCTATTTTAATTCAAATTTATGATAATCCAAGGAGATTTATAAACGGCGATATTCCTGAACGTTGTTTTTTTTGAATTATTCAACTACTTAATAAAATTAATTTTAATGTAGTTGAAAATATTTTCTTTCTTTTTTTTTATTTTAGAAGAAGAATTGCATCGTTTACCACGTCAAGAAGGTTCATCATCTGCTTATTTACTTCAATCAGCATATGATACAGGTCAAATATATAATCGATCATTATATAAATATCTTCTCATATTTTTATTATTATTAAAACAAATACATTGTGCAATATAATGGTTGACTTTTGTTATTGGTTGTTTGTTTTTTTTTTGTTTTTAGTATCCTATTTTAAATAAATTTAAATTGAATTTTGTGATGAAGAAAGAATATTGATGGTTGTTTTTAATATACGATTTGTAAATTCTGGATTATCATGATTATTTTCTGTTAATGTTGTCGTTGATTGATTATTGAGAATCATTTGAAGTTTTTGAATTGTTTCATCAAGTAAAATTTTCTTTTCATGATCATTTAATGAACCAGTATCATAAGTAAGATCAATAGTATTTCTATCGGATGTATTTATATTCCAAACAAGTGTTTGACTTGATTGATATTGTTGATTATTTAAAGCAATTTGTTCTTGAGATGATAAATCTAAATTAATTGTTATTTGAAATGTATGATTTGAAGAAATTTTTTGTTGTTGATTTTGTAAAATATCAAGTTGTTGTTGATGTTTTATTTTTGTACAATTCGTACAAAGTAAATGATGAGGTCGAGCTGAAAATAATGAACGACCACGACGAGCTAATGGTAAAAATGAACGTGATGAAGTATTCGATCGAAGTAAACGACAACAATCATATTCTATTTAAAAGAAAATAAATCAAAAACTATAATTTAATACATCTGAAACTCGACAAATTTGGTTCCACACATATTACCAATTAAGTTAGATTACATGTTATAGGTAAGAAAAGAGCTATCATCTAAGTAAAAAAATATTTCGTAATGTATCAATGTTATACTATATTTTGGTCATTTTATTAAGTTTCAGTAAATGAGCTTGTTTTCGAGGACTATCTAGCTCAAATTCATCATCTGATTACAAAAATTCTCAAGATATTCTACTGTTCTGTAATTTTAGCTAAACATCACTTTCTTTTACTATAAATACAATAAGGTCTTATGTCTTGGGAATTTGATATCTTGACGAAAATCTAATGAAAAAACAACTCTCTGGAGGTTGTGTTAGAATAGTAGTGTTCTAATTACTTGCAAAATATAAGTTCAAAGTTTGGGAATCAGATGATAAACTTGAGTTAGATGTTCCTTAAAAACAAACTGAACCTTTTACATTACAGGCATCGATGGATCATTTTTTTTCTTGCTCAAAGATCTCTTTGGTTCTTGTATTTTTATTCATTACAATAGTAACACATAAACGGATAAAATTTTCTTCTTGACAATGAAAGTAATGTGATGGTTTTGTATTACATTTTAACCTTGCTGAACGTTTTCTTTCTTTTTTTTTATATCTAGTGTTTGCTTTTGATTATTAAAAAAAAAACTTTGTATTATCGTTGATGTACTTGAATAGAGATAGTCGTCAAGTAATTTACCTTGTTCAAGTAATATCGTTGATGTGCTATTATCGGAAGAAATTTTTCGTTTTTGAGATGAATTCGAATTAATTTTTAATGTAAATAATGCTTGATCAACATCAGTTAATGTTAATTTTCGACATAAATCATCGAATTTTTCTGAATTTGATATAATTAACTCATTATCATAATCTATTAGATTGTAAATGATAATAAAAAGAATTATAAACAAACAATAATTATTAATCTTTACTGATATATGAATTGTGTTCGTTGTATTCACAAGCAGATTCTTTCATGAAGCTTGTGTACGTTTGTCTTTTTTATTTGCTGTACAATCTGCTCTCGTCTTTTTAATTCTATTGAAAGAGTGAAGGGAAGAAAAACGTAAGGTGAATTTCTTTCTTTTTTTTTTTTTTTTTGTTGTTGTCATATGAATTTATAGCTGGCAACGGTGATATGCATTTGATTGTTCTTATGCAAACATACATTCATGTGAATGTGCGTCATTTTTTTTCAAACATGGATACTCAATGTACGAAAGAAAAAGAGAAAAAAAAACAATTATTAACTAAATCGTACGATTAAATTAGATACAAAATTTTATATGCAATTTACTGATAATCAAAGAAAGAATGTTTTAATTTCGAAATAACTATTCTTTGAATGATCTATTCTTGTAGTATTTTATCTACTGCTATTCTCGTTTTCAAAACTAGTTGATGTCGACGAAAGACAAAAGTCAAATGATCTGAAGACATGCAGAATATTTTGATGTTAAAATTCATTTAACTTATTGAACAATTTTTAATTCTAGAGAAGTAATAATTGTACTTATTAGGAATAAGAATAAGTTCACGTATTTCCACTGGATCTCAGATACACTGTACAAAAAAGTTTTCCGATTTTGATGAAATTTTCAGCGTTTGTAGAGCTTTTAATTCTAAGAATTTTAATAAAAAAATTTCTTTTTTAAAGCTTTTATTTTTCACGGAGATACACTCAAAATACTGTTACCATTAATTACTAGTAAAATGTAGAAAAACAGTTTTCTACACAATTTTGACCAACGGTTTTTGATAGCTTTCTTCACTAAAACGAACGTATTGATAAAAACCGAGACCATATTTGGATTCCTCGTGAAAAGGCACATCGAATCATATTAAACTCGATTTGAGGTTTGGAAAAAATTTGTGCCTCATATATAGGTTGACTACTCACCGATTGCACAAAAAACAGAGTTCTTGATTATTTCAGAAAACCGAATTGCTCGATATAGTAGTATAGTATATTCGACAGAACGTTACTTGCTCTATAATCCTGATAGTTCAGAATTCTCCACCCTTTTGATTTGGTTTAAATATTGAGACAACATTATTAAATAGTGTTGTTTCCCCTAGATATCTTGAGACCTTCCGAGGCGGAGATCTAAAGTTTTCACAAATGACTACTTTCAATTGGAGTGAAACTTGCAGAATTTGTGGAGCTTTCAAAGCTGATCATTTCGGTGAAAAAATATTTGTTATTTGATCACACTTGGCTAATAAGAAAGATCTGAAGCATCGACCAGAAGCGGTAAAAAAAACAGTTTTTGACCTGAAAGTCCATCAAAGCCCGACGTAAGTTAATCGCAAATAGGCTTATTTGATAGAAAGTTTTACTCTCTATCAGATTTTATAAGAACGTCTAAGACATTGAAATTATTGTCTATCGATGAATGCCAAGTACTGTCTCAATTAGGTCATACTGGCACAAATAATGATTCTTCGAGTCGTTCGAAGCTATCGTTTTTTCAGGTACACCAGCTTGATTTTTTTCAGTGGATATGCAAGTGAATGCGGTCTTTCCGATGAGATCATTTTCTATTTGAAATTCGATGTTTTATGAAGCACGTTTTTACTAACTACAACACTCGATGGTTAGTTTACCTGTCTTCTGACTAATATTCGACAATTTTCAAGCGGAAAATACTTCATTTGACTTTTAAACCGTATCATATTTGAAATCAGGACAAAAAACTGAGTCGACCTATATACATTTCAAATTGTTTCGATGACTTACATTTTCTATGACTTTCAGGGGTGGGTGTGGGTTTGAGTATCAGTCTTCTCTCAACGCACACACTCACATCCTACACTCACAGCCACAGCCACACACCCACACACACCCACACTCACCCACACCCACACCCTTTTTTGAGTCACGTCGCTAACGCTGGTTTTTTAATCCTAACTCTGACAAACAAGGGTCTCTAGGGCTGATTTTTTCAGGGTGTTTAGAGCAACTTAATACACGCAGAAAAAATAAAAAACCAGCTCTAGATAAGCTCTTTGTCCAGAGATATATACATTTCAATTTTGCGAAGTCACGTCGCTAACAAATGATTTTGCCCATATATATCCACCTTGAACGACAACAAAAAATGACTAATCACTGAAAATATACTAGTCTTTTATCATTGAAAACTTTTTGTTCTGAAACGAAAATACACATGTTTTCAATATTTCTACGACAGATTTCTAGCTCATTTTTATAATTATTATTGAGGTTTTTAGCATGTTCTCAATAACGGTTTTTACAGAAATATTCTTAGAAAAAAAACAAGATTTTAAAACTTCTATATCTCCTTGATTTTCGAATCGGTTCGATTTGGTTCAGTTTCAGAAAAGCACGAACTGATCTCATCACTGGAATATTTCGCTGTGCTGTTGAGATGAACATAATTTTGCTACATTAAAAGAAAAATCATAAATTGAAATGCCTGTGCAGATGATTTTATGAACAAAAAGTGGTTTTCCGTAGAAATCAAGTTGAAAAATATACTTTTCAGCACGTTTGTAAAAAAAGTCATCCCAGGCGAGCAAAAGAGTAGCAAAAAGACTAGCCTTTTTTCTAGTCATGACTGTATGTCAGGTCTAGTCTTTTTCTCAAAAAGTCCTCCTCCTGGACTAGTCTGAAATCATTGATGGTCCAAAGTACCCATCCTGTCTATGTAATTGATGGGCGTCATTTTGTTTAACAGTTCCAGTCTTCTTCTCAAAAATTTCTAGTATATAACTAGTCCGAATATCGTTTGTAGTCTTTAGACCCCACCCTGACTAAGTAACTGACTGGCATCATGCCATTTTGTTATGTATAGTCGTTTTTGCAAAAAAGACTACCTATGCGATGCAGTCCGGATTCCGGTGAAAAATAGATTTTAAATCGAAAAAGGAAAGGCGTCTGTGACGCTGCATGTAACAAATTATAGTCTTATGTAGTAGTTTAGTCCGGACTAGTCTAGTTTATAGAAATATAAGCAGAAGGTTAGATTCGAACACGCATGCAAATATGTAACTTACCCATCGTTTAATTGATTGAACCATATAATCGAGTAATCAACTTCTATGTATCGGTACACATTCTGAAATGTTATTTAACACAGTTTTACTCAGAGTTTTTCTAGTTGTGATGTAAATAAAAAATATTTATCATAAAACCCAAAATTATTTCAATAAGTCTGAATGAAGTTAATTCAGAACTTAAAAAAATATATTGATCTTCAATATTTCAGAAAAATTACTTTGGATTGTAAAAACAATCAAAATTGAGAAACAAATTTTAAATAATGTAAATTAAAACCATATTTTTTCATACAATGATTAATGTTTATTTTAGTTTAATTTTTTCGATTTCAATTTTAAAATAAACTACAATTATTTAATTTAAATCTATCTTTAAATTCAATTTGTCAGAATTGATACTAAAAATAAAATGTAATTCTCATGTAAAAACATTAAGATTATTTTTCGAATAAAATTATTCTTAATTCCTTTCGTAATTCAGAAATTTTATAGCATATAAATAGGTAACTCCAGCTAAGATGTAAACAGCTGCTTTGTAATTCTATCTGGTTTTTTGTGTTTTTCTAGTTTTGATACGAACCAGTCCAAGAGAGTTGTGTGGAGATTAAGATCGAAGCAAACAGGACATTTTGAAGAGTTGAAACTATATTCTGGATATGAATTAGTACTACCTTCTCAAAAATGGACCAGTCATGAACAATACAAATGACGCTTCCACTAGTTCGTCTTACTATTGAAAATAGTTCAGACTAGTCAGGTCCTCAATATTGTCTGATCGAACGTTCGAATCCACCTATCTTCACCTATCCTTCTGACTTTTTTATTTTATGGACGAGTCTGGACAATATAAATAAACTAGACTTGACTGGTGAAAAAGACGTTTTTCACTTGACATAGAATGACTTTTATAAACTTTGGACTATTCTAAACGCTAAAGTATGTCGTTTTGTGTACAATATATTAGACATGACTACTGTTGAAGACACATTAGACTAGTCTGGACGTGATTTCCAGAAATTTTCGACTAGTCTAGATACAAAGTATGACTTTTTTATGCGGAATAGACTAGACTTGACTGTCAAACAAAATATTTTGGACTAGACATGACGGGCAGTACTGACGTTTCAGACTAGACATGTTGTCCGTCCTACCCTTTTTTTGCTCGCCTGGGATGTTGTCAGCAAAAGAAATAAAAAAGAAAATGTGCTGCAATGAATCAAATCGAACATGTTTGAACGCAGATATTGGGTGACATTTTAAGTTGAAAAAATGTGTTATAAATTAAAAAAGATTCATTTAAATGCAAAAGCAGCGTTTTTTCTCCAAAAGATTGCGTTGGAATGCGCTTTTATACGAATTTTTTTTTTCATGGGTTATATTAATATGCATGAATGTTAAGCAATAGAAATACTTGACAAAAATAAATCATGTCAATTGTTACTTCCTTTTATTATCTGATTTTATACCCAATAACTTGAGCAATGGCATATTATCTGATTATTGAAATGTTATTCTAGTAGTATCTTGCTAGAATGATAAAAAAAATTGTCATTTATCAAACCCAATGAATAGTATAAATAACGTGTGTCGACTGAGTTTCTTTGAAGCTGAAAGATAAAATTCACATGTCTACATTAATTATATCATACTGATACAAAATATGCTAGATGTACGACCTTGCAATTACTATAATTCTTCTCTAACGATGAATGATTGTCAACATACATTATCTTTTTTCTTTTTCTGTTCCATTGATATAAGTTCGGTATAGTTTATATTATATTTACATTGTTATAAGCATTTATGTAATCATCAATCTAAAAAATTTTTAAAAAAATATTCCGATGAGAATGAGGGTGGTTCTAAAAGTTTCTCATTTATATCGTTCAGTTTTTTTAAATAGATTTCAAAAAATCTTTAACGAACATCCTATTCGTTTGATGATGTCTTCTGAAAATGTAAGAAACTATTTCGGAAAGTTGTTATTAGATCTGAAGTGAAATTTGAGCCAAAAACATCAGAATTGAAAGCTAAATTAGGTCAAGTTTTTCTTTCTAATAAGTCAAAGTAAAACTCATTATATCAATTTTTCAAGTTATATGACTTCTATATATATTTGGGTCATGTCAGGGCATGAGTAAAAATTCGTACTCGTTTCTGTATGGGATATAACTTGTATTCTTATATGAGAGGTTATTACGTTACTAAAAAAGAACTAATGAAAAAAGACGCATGAAAACAATATACAGAAAATATATCAGTACCAAAATAATAAAGCAGATAGACTTACAAATGAAAGTGTTCTTTAACTATGACTCTAATAGGGAAAATAATGTACAGTCTTTGATTTATGAATAAAGGAAAAGAACGGTTCGACCTTAATGATATTGAAAAAACTTTTGATTAAAAAAAAACAGTGTATTGACAAGAGTTAATTATGTTACATATATGTATTGTTTTGCAATTAATTCTTTCATGTATTTACTTTCAAATGATGCCTCACGATTTGTAAACAAACAAACTCTATTATAATAAAAAACTATTCAACTCTATTCTTTTTTTATATTTGTAAATATCTTGTTTTTGAATCTAGTTTCTTATAAGTATGTAACTTTCATCTAGAAACTCGCGATAAGTATTGCATGTCTCTTTTTTTTTCTCAGTCATTGGTATATCTGTCAACTGTTATCCATAACGTGTCTTCATACTCATCGTTGACACAAAAACAAGGAACTATGTACAGTCAAAATGTTTTTCTTTCTTTGGTTACAGTTATTTTATTGATAATATCGTAGTATGTAGCAAACATAACAGAATCATAAGCACTTAAAGAAAAAATTGAAATTTATTTAGATGTTGCATTTCTCTAAAAATCAATTTTTCCACAAAGTAAGTAGAGCTGTAAGACCCTTTCATACTCATAACGGGTATTGCCCAGGTTAATGAAAATAAATAAGCTATTTCGAACTTACAACTATCAAAACTTCTTTTTTTGATAAATTATTCTATTAATTTTAATTTCAGAAAATATTATTAATATGTAATAAAATGATGTTTCTTAAGTATAAATTCCGTTCGGTATTTAATTAACTTTAATCATTTTAATAAATGGAATTTCTATCAAGAAAACTTTAAGAATCATCAGTGATTATGATATAAATGCTGCTCGTGAATTATAAAAAAACAAATATAGTTAATGTCATATATCAAGTTTTAAAATATGATTGTTTTTGAAAGTATTTTCTCTTTGTTGTACAATGAAAAGTTCTCTGATAGTAATTTTTAGAAGAAATCCGAAAAAAAAACAATATGTGAATATTTGACTATGAAGATTGATGTATGTTCTAGAAAATCTAATTTTCCGAACTGAGTTGTTTACGAGTAAATAATCTCTATTTATAATCTTTCGCTGTAATTTTAAAACACATCAAAATAACAAATTTATTTGCAATTATAACAGTCCTTCAATTTTTCTTCAGTACATAAATATAATCTAATTAACTTTCATACATATTTACTTGTAGATAATAATCTAGAATATATAATGTTCTTTTGAGAAAAACAAAAATTTATGATAATATGAACTTGACGTCAATGATTTTCAATGTCAATATGAAAAATGAAGAAGTGGAACAACAAACTGAACTTATGTACAAAGATAATACAATATGGACTGCCGTATTCAATGCAGATGAGGATGCAATAAATCGTTTGATCGATGCTGATCTAAATGTTATAATGTCAAGAGGTGCCGTCGGTGATTGTCCCATTCATATGTTATTTCTATGTGGAACAGATAAACATATGAAAATTGCTCGAAATCTTATTAGACGATTTCCAACGATCATGACGCAAATTTATAATAAACCAGTAAATAGAGAAATGTATTCGATTTTAATTTAGATAAAAGTCATAGAAATTATTTAGAAATATTATGGTGAAAATATTCTTCATATTGCTATTGTCAAACGTAATCTAGATATGGTTAAATGGTTACTTAGTGATATTCATTCAGAAAGTAATCGACAACAACTATTAACAGCCACTGCTACTGGTGACTTCTTTAAAATGTAATGTACTTTTCTTCTATCATTTATTACATCAATACATTTTTAGAGGTCAACCAACTTATTATGGTGAAACTCCATTAGCATTTGCATGTTGTACTAATCAATGGAATATTGCTAAAATTTTACTTCAACATGGTGCTGATATGAATGTAGTCAGTAGAAAAAAAAAAGTATGAGAAAATTCTAACTTACTCTCTTCTTATTTACATCTAGACGGACAGTAATGGTAATACTATTTTACATATGCTTGTTATTCGTAACTCACATGATATTTATACCAAATTTAAATCATATTGGATTGAACAGCAAACTTTTAATAAGAATAGAATAGTTGAAAACTCAACATTAGTAAAACAACCTGTAAATTTATGGAATCGTTTAAATAATGATAATTTGACACCACTTACTCTAGCAGCTGATATAGGTCGATCTGAAACATTATCATGGTTACTTGATGAACGTAAAAAAATACAATGGTCTTTTGGTAATGTTTCATGTTTATTACATCCTCTCGATCAACTTGATGTTGATATTCAAGAACAGGTATAATGAAATCAATTTATATTGATTGTTTCACTCATATTACTTTTATTTAGAATAAAAAACATTCTCTATGTGTACTTGAAATAATGATAAAAAATAATGATTCAAAATTAGTAAATCCAATTATAATATCATTAATCGACAAAAAATGGAGTTATTTTGCTTATCGAATACTTATTCGACGATTTTTCTTTACATTTATTTATCTTCTCATTTTTCTTGCTACAACAATACTAGAACAAACACGAACAGAAATGGTAATTTAGTAAAATTTTTTATGTTAAATTATGAAAGATAATTTTAGATGATAGATATAAATAATAAAACAAGAATAACTTATAATAAAGATTCAAATATGCCTTGTCGAATAGCTTATATAATTGGATATATAATTGTAATATCAGGTGCATTATTCAAAGGTGCATGTGAGATAAAAGATATATATGATCTGGGTTGGGAAAACTATGTGCATAGCACAGTAACTGATAAATTCTTCAAATTTTAATGAATTATTTTTGATTTTCAGGGACCAGTTTTTCTTGAACATCTTTTATCATGTTTATTTAGTTTATGTATTTTAATTGTTCAATTTCTTCGTCTATTTAAAATACCATATGAAAATGTTATTCATGCTTTTGCTTGTTTTCTTGGATGGCTTTATATGTTTTTTTTCATAATGCCATTTGAATTTACTGGACCATTGGTCATTATGATTTATAAAATTTTATTTAATGATGTTCTTCGTTTTTGTATTATATATCTAATTTTTCTTGCTGGTTTCTCACAATCATATTTTGTTTTATTTAATAGAAATGGTAAATTTTCAATGATATACTATTCTATATAAATAATTGATATTTAAATAAATTATAGGTTTACAAGGTTATTTATTAAGTATCAAACAATGTTTTTTAGGTTTAATAGAAGACTTTAATTTAGAATATTTTATTGAAGAACAACATTTATGGATTGGTACTTTATTATTTGTATTGTATGTTGTAATTATTACTATTCTTTTATTAAATTTACTAATTGCTATGATGGATGATACATATACAGATGTGAAAAGAAGTGCAACACAATTATGGTTTGTTTTATTGATTTTTCATCTTTTCTTTTTTCTATTATTATAATAAATATAAAAGGCATTTAGAACGAGCACGTATTGTACTTGATATTGAAAGTGAGATATCAATATCTAAACGTCAATCATCTATCAACAAATATTGGGTAGATATACGAGGTGAACGTTATTTACAAGTCGAACAAGTGGACGATGATGTTTGTCTATATCGTAGAAACAATAATTAATAGTTATATGCAAAATACTTTTAAAAATATCAAATAAATCGGTGAAATTAAACTTGAGAATGTGGATCATGTTTTTAATTTATTCTACACTCATCCTGATTCATTCTAATATAATATTTATCACTTTGCACATTCTTTTCATCGGTGTTTTGCTTTTCTCCTTCTATTAGAAACTTTACATCATTTATACTTCCACATTTACAAATACCAATGACAATTATTTTATCTGGCTTTTTTTAATCGATCTTTATTCATTACTTTTTCAATAAGTTGAACACGATATGTCTATGAAATAAATAAATATTAACATTTTTTGTTATTTATCATACATATAAATATATGAAAAAGAAGATTTTTAATTGTTTCTATATCAAGACGTACAAACTAAATGAATGTATACTAAAAATTAATAAAGAAACTAATCTTATAGCTTATGCTTTTCTATAACATGTCTTTTACAATATTTTTTTTCGATCCCATACACAAGTTTCTTTATCATTTCTATTAACAATTGAATAGATACATATTAAATATTAAAAAAACATTAAACTAAAAAGTCTTTCGGACAAAATTTGCAGTACATTCGAGAGTAAATCAGTAAATTCTCAAAACTTTTAACTGCAATTTTTTTGTTGGCGCTGCTCTACAACTAACGATTCGGTGTTTACGTATATGATTGCAGTAAAAATTACTTTTGATGGCTTTTTTTCAGTTCTTATCTTCTCAAGTTAAATAGCAACTGTTGACTTCCACATGTTAATGAATTATTACTCCCGAAGTGAAAAAGAAGAGAGAAGAAGGGTGTGGGGGTGTGGGTGTGGGTGCGGTAGGTGTGGGATGTGTGGGTGTGGGGTGTGGGTGATGTGGGTGGGTGTGGGTGTGAGTGTGGGATGTGGGTCTGGGCGTGGGTATGAGTGTGAGTGTGGGATGTGGGTCTGGGTACCTGGATGAGTGTTGGTGGGTGTGGGTGGGTGTGGGTGTGAGTCTGGATTCGAGTGTTGCTTAAGTGAAGATGAACGAACACATACCCACACCCCAGCTGATGATTCTGCGGTTCTATTTAGAATTCAAGATGCAATTCATTTTGGTCTACCAACTGCCATATTTATTGCTGGACATGATGAAATTTTACTGGAACTTTGGCCGCTTTCTGATGTCCAAAACTTATCAATAGTTATAAATGGTCAAAAACCCGATATAACATCAATTCAAGAAGGAAAATTACATAAAAACAATAACGATTATTATGTACCAGTAAATGATATCATTGAAAAATGCATCTACTGGAATAAAA